GGTGCTGGGTGCTGCCCCGGGGCCAGGCGCTGCGGTGCGCGGCGGCCGGGCTGTCCCTCCCTCTGCATCTGCGGGGCCTCGTGCTGCATGTGGCGCTGGAAAGGAGGAGTTTCTTTTTGTTGTTTTTGTTTTTTGTTTTCTCTCCAAACCCAGCTTTCCTCTGTGTAGATAAGCAGAAAAGCAAGTGGTAGATGGTAGCCTCGGGAGACATTAGCCTTTTTGATTTTGGAGCTTTGTGGGCTTTTTTTGCTAGGTGCATTGACATAGCATTACTATGTCCTCTTGCTTGGAAACCTTTGTGTAAACTCCAAATTCCAGAGCTCTATGTGAGCCTTGCTCTCTACATTTAATCCCTTGGCTGCACGGGGTACACCATTTGAAAATATCTTGAAAAGAGAATGTTTGTGCTTCCTGATACTGTCCTTCCTCCTGCTTTGGCTCTGGTAAGTGTTTTTATTAGTTTGGTACAGCAGCACTAAAACAAGCTTTTTTTTTTTTTTTTCCTGCTTTGTAGTCTTACTATTAGTTGCCAGGTGATCGTACATCAAGATGGCTGAACAAGATCATGGTGCTTCGGAGGCAGTGGATGAAGAAGAGATTGAGGAGGGAAATGGAGAAGAGATGACAGACTTGGGCACAGTCTCCTCTAAAAGCACTTTTGAATCTGCAAGTCTAGAGGAACTTGAGGGTAGTGGTCATCTGACCCTGGAAAGTGAAAGCAGCAGGCCCTGCCTGTCTGAAAAAGACTCAGAGGAACTTGATGCCTCACATACAGTCACCTGCACATTCGCAGTCTCACTAGCTGTCCCTATAGTGGTTTCAAGTAAGAACCTGGCAGTTTTCCTAAGAATCCTTTTTTTTTTTTTTTTTCTTCTCATTATTTCATAAAGTAATTGTGGGTCAAGTCCTGGGTCTTTATTTGAGCTAGTGTTAGAAGAGATGTTGGTTTGTTTGAATTTCCTGGGCAGATCACTCGGGAAAATGTCAGTGGGACGTGGAAGCTTTTTATACATTGGATGGTTGTCACAGGTGACTGAAAGCCTTTCCTGACTGCCGGCTCCTCAGTCTTCACAGTAATTCAACTTGATTTTAGCTGGTGTTTATTAATAAGTCACTGTCTAATAATGAAAAAGTGGGTAATTTTGCATATATTTTCAGTTTGCCTAATTATGATTTGGGGTAGTCTAAAGGTAGTATTACTAGCATTTTGAATGAAGGCAGCAGCTCTTCAACAGATGTATGGTGGGAAAAATGGGCATTGCTTTTGCCTCAAGGGATGAGGAATAGTTGCTTTGTACTAATTATCTGGGTAATAGGATGTACATACTACAGGTTGTGTGTTTGTGTGTGTGTTTATGTATACACACACAAATATATATACACAGCATGTATGTGTAGGCCATACAAGCTACAGGTATTGGAAGAAGATACGCTGCAGAAAGAAAGAATAGGGAAATTCCAGAAGGGTAATGGACTGTTACTGCAGTTAAACTTGAGTAAAAACAGCAGGCTTGTGCACTGGGATAAGAGTTTCACATTCAGCAGTTGTTTATTTCAAACAATTATTTTTCTGCTGTCATGAGGTAACACTTATTGCCATTTAACCATTGCAGTAAGCATTATATTTTTTTCTCCTGAAAGTGTCATCTCTGATAACATTTCATGCTTCCAAATATTGCTAATATTTTCACTAGAACGCAAGCGAAAGGCATCTGTTGCAGCTGAAGTGCGAAGAGGTAGTATTCCAGATCACAAACATGGGGCTATTCCAAGAATGCGACGTTACTATCACATTGAATATTACCTTCTACCCGATGACATTGTACCAGGAAAGCTGGATTTGGTATTGTTTGGGATGATTGCAAAGCTATTTACAGAATCTGATTCCAAGGTAAAAAAAACAACAACAAAAGTTGTATATGTCTGTGTGTGTGTATGTATAAAACTTATATATAACACAGATGCATAACTTTAGGAGATACAAAATGAATAATCCAGTATGCTGTATATGGAAAATCCTTTCAAAGGCAGAGTGTTGCAATTATAAATAATTTTAACTATCGCTTAGATGTTAGCTGCACATGCAGGCACATGAGGATAGAACTTGACCCTGCCAATCCAGATCAGCAGTAGTTTATTTTATTTGTAATAAGAGACTGATGGAATCATTATCATCTGCTCAAAATTTGTTTTATTTTCCTTGAGATTATCAGTTTGCTTGGGATTATGATTTTTTTATCTTTTAAGTACCAAGATAACAATACTATAGTTTGAAGGCATCTATCCATTCTATTAAAAATGAAGAAAAAATGAAATTTATGTCTCCAATAATTGTTGAGGAGAAAAAGACTTTAAGGAACTCAATTTTTCCAAATTTTGTTCAAAGCTATGTAAAATATGTCTAAATGCGTCTTGTGCATTAAAATCCATGACTCTCCAATTTGAATATTATGTTTTGAATACACTTTGATTTGCTATGAATTTTCTTTTTAAAATGTTAATGCTAAAATTGCTCAGAAAGAACTACATTTCAGAGACTCATGCTTTAAAAGCATTGTATTCTCTGAATTTTTCTGAATAATTTTATTAAAGATCAGTTTGAGGTTCTTGTTAAATAGAAAAGCTCTTGCAAAATTGCTGATTGAAATGTCTCCTATCATCAACTGTAAGTGCTTTGTTCCTGTTGTTTAGCAGCATACACAAGTGAAATTTAGAGGTGATACTTTAATTTGGTAAACACCAAGTCACCATTTTGAAGCATATGTAATTGCTCTTATAGTATTCTTTTAAGTCTTGAGTGTATGAGCACATGCTGACCAACAGCTTAATTGCTGTTTGTTTTTCTTTCATAATCTTAATAATGTTCGACCTTGACTTGATAGAACGACTTTGTATTAAGTGTGCTGCTCTGACACATCTGTGGGGGTCATGTAAGACCCAGTATGAGCTGTAAAAATAAAAAATATACAGTTTTATTTAGAAGAACAGCTTTCTTCTGATAAAATTAAAACTACAAACTTTTACTCCTAGATGATAACCAGTTGTTTTCAGAAAAAAGAGAAACTGTGCTGTGATAGCTCTCATTATATTGTTCTACAGTTAGGTTCTTCTAATTGTAATATCCTTTGGGTACTTGACTGTGAAGTTTTGTAACCCTAGAATTCTTCAAGAGTTCTTGCTAGCTTTTTTCCATGCACTGTGCTTTCTGTAATTAAATAGTTGTGATAGTAGTCAACATGTGAGTATAACTTTCTCAGTACTGATCAGCTCCTGTAAAGATTTTCATGTTTTTTTAATAGACTATTGCACCATGGTTGGAAAATAACAAGATCTGGCTATCATGGAACTATAGCATTGATATCAATGTCACCAATGAATATCTGATGAAACTAAGAGATCACAAAATAACTTTAAAACTCTGGGATTCCAAGGACAAAGTTTCTTCAAAAGCTAAAAATAGTCAACCAAAGGCTCTTTCTTCTCAAGTAGAGGATGTGGATGCTGTCGGTAAGCCTAATGTAAACAGACATGTTATGATCTTGAAATTGTGCCTGTGCCTGTTAGTAAATTATTGATAGGATTGTTTGACATCCTTGTGTCATTCCTACTAAATACATAAAAATAATATAGAAAAAAATGTGTAATATATATGTGTATAATATATACATTTATATATAAAATGTAATTCCCCCCTAATAACATGGCTAATTTTTGGCCGCAGTAGGTTGACAATGTTTTCAAAGATAGTTATTTACTAACTGTTTTTTTTTTTTTTACTAGTTGAATTAATATAATTAGAAAAATAGGGATCTTGTTACAGCTCATATAGAGACCTGTATGAAATGAGAACTAAGTCCTTATTAAATATAAGAGCAGTAAGTATGAGATGAAACCTGTAGGACATGGGATATCCCTGCAGTTGCTGTTAACATTATTTTTTCTGTTAAAATAAACATATTTTATTAGTAAAATAATGTCCTTGTATCTCAGAGATTTGTGGAGGTTATAAGATTTGAAGTGCTAGTTAGTACAGGCTTGGGTTTCTTTTTGATTAAATTGTAGTGATACATCCAGCATTGGCTGAAATATAGAGGAATTGGTTATAGAATAAGCTTTAGAATTTGCTGAAAATTTATAACAGTATTTGTTTTTTGTCTTTGAAGTGTGTTGAGTACCTGAATAGTTGTTGAGGAATGGAACCTTGTCTGTATTTCAGTATTTTATGAACATCTTCCTTATATTTTAGTAACAGACAGGCAAGAGAAAGCTTTGCTCCCTAAAGTGGCAGTCTTTCAGAAGAGTCTATATGGAGAAACCCCTTTCAACTTGCTGCCAAAACTGATTCCCTCCTGTGCAGGTCCAGTATTTTGGGAGTTCCAACAAACCTCAGCAGCCCCTATATTTTCTTCCAAAGATACATTGTTTTATAGTACAGGGAGAATATTTTATCCTAGATTCTTCTGCAAGGTTTGAAGTTATCTCCAGACTAACAGAAATAGTGTCTCTGAGCATCTTTTTAAAGATACTAGGAAAAGTATCATAAGCCATGGGAAAATAATTGTTGAAAACTTGGGTAGCCCCCAAATCAGACTAACTAGGGAAGTTAAGCCAAGGTTTTTTTTTTTTCCTGATAGGTGGGGTAAAATCCACGGTACTGTTGCAAAGAAAGATTTTTGAAGAGACTCGGCCACCACCCAGCTGTACAAAAGTTAAAGGAGCAATGGAATCCAAGGCACGGAAGGAGTCTCCAGCCAGTCCTGATGAAGGTACAGCTGTATGAAGACATTGGAACTGGCTTGATGTGAGGCAAAGGAAGCAGCTGTGGAACTGGGACCTGAAGTAACAGGGGAACAGAAATAGGACTGAGGACACTACTGAAGGAGCAGGCTATTGCAGGGAGACTGAGATTGGAATAAATTTTTAATATCTTTGGAATATAATTGGAACACAGAGGGATAAATGTGGCTCCTGGAAGGTTTTTAAGAGAACATTAGAAAACCCAGATTTTCTGCTGCCTCGCATTTTTAAGTTATCATATTTACATCTAGAATATCAGCTAGAATATAAGATTCCAGATTCATACAGTTATTCTGTTGTTGGTAAATATCTGAAACTTAGAAGCAGCATGTCTTGTTGCCTTCAAAAGGCTAGTATATGCGAGGTATGAAATCTGATTTCTGACATTGGTGGGATCCTAATTTTGGGTAATTTTGTAGTCTGGTGTTGTCTTATTCCATCAGAGAAACTGCTGCAGTATTGCCACAAATAACAAGCAACAGAATCTTTTAGGAAAAGAAGGGAAAAGGTTCTCCACCTAGTGGCTGTGTCATTTGTTGCCATATCTTCTTCAAATTGCTTTTAGCTTCTTTGTTGCCTTTGGAATCTTATTAAAGTCTATTGACTGGAGAGCTGGCCACTGATTTTCCTGCACTGTGGTACTGTTCAGCTAGGGAAAGTGGCAGAGTCCTCTGATGTGTCCTCAGAGGGCCTGTTGTGCCATGTTACTGTGCCTGACCACAGATCATGAGAATAGAAAATTTGTAACAACAATTGAAAGTTTAATCACTGAAAATTCAAGTAGTTATAAAATGTTCCATATTCCAAAAAAACAGACCTCTAGCTTTCCAGTTGGGCTCCCAAACCCAAGGTTAGTGGAAACCTTTCCTCATATCTTTTTTTTTTTTTTTTTTTGTGCCTCCGTTTTCATCTTCACACTGGATTGGAAAAACCCTGGAGAGAGTGTTAAGAGTTGTTACAGAAATTATGAATGTTAAGGCCGCACAAAGACACTGTAACAGTGACTGTTACAGCTCTCTCCATTAGGAGTTCAGCAGTTCTTTCATTATACTGGGGTTGCTGTTTGAATATTTTGAAAGAAAGATCAAAAAGGCAAAGAGCTGCATTGTGTAGTTAAGGATAAAGTCACGTTTTAAACTGCTGTTTTAACGAGTGGTGTATCGTGTGCCACCTCGGGCAGACTGTATAAATATGTGTTTTGTGATCACCTGAGGTTTGTATTGTATTATATGTTTATATTCAAGGGATGAATTCAAAGTCTATCTCTTTGTAATGTCCGATTTTGTTAGAAGAATCCTTGTTCCTGCAGGAAGTAGTAGTGGGAATTTGGGAAAAGCACTTTTTCTCTCCTGCTTCAGTATCAGATGCAAAACCATTTACATCATCTTGATAGGGAGCACTGTGCCACCAGCTTTTTGTTTGTTTGGTTTTTAAATGACCTGTTTCACCAAAGTGGGAGTAGATGAATTCCTGGCGTGGAGACCTGGCAGTGCACATTTGCGTTTTGGTAGTACTGCCATCTAGTGACCGGCCCAGGCAGAGTTAATGGACCAAATACTGAACTCTGCAAAAGTAGGTAGTCTGTTCAAGGAAGTGAAGGACAGGAACCTAGCTTTCAGCTTCAGATGAAAGTAAAAGTGCTTACATTTTGCTTAAATTGTAACCAGTTCTGTGGTAAGAAAGAAAGGAATGCCTGAAGATCTTTCTTTTCCCTGCCCTTAAAATAAAAATAAACTATTGAAAGAGGGGCCTAGCTGTGTATGCTGTTGGTAGCACACACGAGTGCTATGAGACCAAGTGTTGAGTCAATTAAAATGAAGCAGGACAGTTACATGTGACTGTTTTCATATAAGTAAATGACACTAAAAGCCAGTTAAATGTAGCATACCACATTGCTGGCATTTTATATAACACTAAGCAAGCATCTGGTAACTTCTGCACATTGAGTAAGAGATTGGGAAACTAGTAGCATTGCTGTTTTTTTTTTTTTTTGGTGTTTAATGAGTATCTATTAAATAAACAATTGTAACAGTTGACTGAAATAATTAAGCAAAAGTAATTTTTTTTTAGTGCATGCAGTCTTCTACGCATTAAGGTATGTTATTGACATTTGTGCATACTTATAAACAGATAGGACTGTCAGTGCTAGCAAAGTATTATTCACTATTCTCACTTCAGTTTAGTTAATTCCTACTTTTATTTTGAAGTGCTGCTGCTGTGGACATTAATTTTCTATGAAATAAAATATGTCTTCATAATACGTTAGTCTTTCTACAGCATCCATCAAAGTCTCTCAAAAATACTTTTTATACTTGGGGTTTATTCAAACTCAGGCGTTGCACACAGAGGCAAAAATCTTATGGTTTGTGTTTTTATGCATATCATAAAACATGAGTGTATCGTGTTATATAAATAAAGCTTACATAAAGCTTCTCTCACTTAGTTTTCCTAGTGGTTTAGGGACAGTTAATTCATCTTTTGGGAATTATCAAAACATGGAAATACTTAATAACAAACACAAAAACTATTTTATTCCAGTAGAAAAAAATGGCCTGAACGGATTGCCATCATCTAATTATGGCTTGCCATATTCTGCAAGGACAGATGACTTGCATACAGCGAGGTAAGAATGTTGCACTTGCTTTTGGAAATGTTCTTATATTGCAAATACACATGGGTAATTATTTTTCAATACTTACCTTGTTTTAACCTTGTTATAATTATATGGTGATTTTACAAGTAATTAACTTTTCTGCAGTAGTACCTTTTGCACCCACGTCTACTGATTATGGTAGAGGAGCAAAAGTATTAAGATCCCTTAATAACTATGAGTTATTCTACTGCAAGTTAGTCAAATGAGAATGTTAAGAAGTGGCAAAAGTGTGGAATATTAGTAGCTCAGGGTACCTCTTTTCTTTGGAAAGGTTGAAGATAGTGTCAGCAGTAAGAGTTAATGGCAGAACAAGCTTTGCTGGCATTTAAAATCATGGTATCAACTCTGTAACTAGGAATCTGCTTTGGTCAAATTCCTCTCTGATTTAAGTTAAGCTGATAGAAACATCAGCTTCTTCCAAAGCAAGTTACTTGTGTAAATGTCATCAGGAAAAAATATTTGGATGCAGTGTGGGCTAATTTGAAAGTAGGATTATGAGTAAAGATTTCTGAATATTTTTTGAAATTTCCTTCAACAGACACCATATTTCTTTGCAACTCCCTGTAAAATTCTGTAACCCAAGTGTCACTGCCCCCCCCTCCATAAGAAGGTTGAGCTTAGTATTTGTGAGAGTTGAGTGTGATCTTCACAAGTAAAACAATTTTACTGTGATGTGTTTTGTGCTACTGCCCTCCAAGTGCAATATAGAATTGTTGAGAAGCCGTGATAAAGAAATCCTTTATTCAGGAGTTTTGAGATGTAATGAAATCTTATGTGACTGTTTTTAATAGTGCATGCAGGGACTTGTAGCGCTCTGCATATATGAGGAGCAATGTGCAGGTGTCCATTTTTTCAAATAAACACCTAAGGATTTGTGTTAACATCAGTTTAATAATTATGCAGAAGTAATGGAAAAGATGTAGTGTGAGGTTATATATTCTGTTGATACTAATTCAGTATTTGAAATAGGATTTACTTTGAAATATTTTTAAAAGGGGGAAATATAACCAATTGAAAAAAAAATTATTTATTTATACTATATTATTTATTTATTTATTATGTATTTCTTAAATAAGTTAAAGTTTTATAAATGTTTTTGAAGCATGCCGTTTGCTAAAAATAGATTACTGAATGAAGTCCCACTTGTGAAGCAGAAGGTAGTTGCTGGTCGTCCAGGTAATACAACTTCAGAAAAAGCAGAGAAGACAAAAGATAACTTGGGAAGTCTGACATATCCAGCAGATCAGACAGTTACCACAAGTGGTGAGTTCAGGATGGAATTATAGATGAAATTTTAAAAGGTAGATGAGGAATTCTGTTTATGTATTATTTTTTTTAGTAAAAAGATGAAGGTTATAAAGAAGTAAGAATTATGGGACCTGTATCTTAGTTTCAGACCTACCATGAGCTTTCTGTGTTTCTTCAGTAGTTAAGTAAACTTTGTGTGCCACAGTTTCCTTAGCTAGTGGAGTGAAGTTAGAATTGTGACAGTCCTTTCTTACTATCTGGAGTGCTCTGAGGGTAAAAAAAAATAGCAAGGGACTTTTGTAAAACAGATATAAAAAGTAACATCAGAGCTAAAGCAACCATTCTAATACCGAAATTGTTACGCCACTGTTGTTTCGTATCTCTTGCATTTCTATTGCCACCAGAGGCAAGGCTTTGATCTGTGTCATACAGTCCATTTTATTTCCAGTGCTTATTCATGCTGTTAAATGGAAAGCACAGCCCAACCGTTTGAGCTTTTGCTCTGTCATCCATAGCTTGTTGGGTAAGTGCTCATGAAAGATGACAGGAGACAATAACCACTGCAACAATGGGCACTACAACATGTATTAAATCACATATTTTAAATAATACACTAGTGCAGCCAAAAACTGGCATGTCCTCACAAGGTTGCAGGACACATTGGCTATAGTATATATTCTGAAAAGTGCACTTGCTTAATAATAAGCATCATTTGTCGTGAATGATAATGTTTGGTTGTTGGATGGTTCTGTCAAATTGAGTGCACCACTAGTGTCAGCAAAACCTTACTTGACAACTGTTTTCTGTTGCTATCCCCTGTGGCAAGATCTCGCTTTTATGAAGTGACTTTTGGATGAGTTGTAGGAAAAGCACTGTAGAGCATGCAGATAAAGAGAGGCATTTCAGAGCCTTGATCTATGCATAAAGATGGTGAAGGCAGCTCAGGTTGCAGCACAGCGTTTGGAGAGCTTAACCCTGAACCACATCTGCCTGGTTTATTTTACATCTGTGGCTAAGCCTTTCTTTCTCATGACTCTGAATACCTGTGATTTATGTGATCAGCTATACGCATCTCTCAACATTCCACCCACTATTTCCTTCACAGTTAAGGCAGTTGGAACTGTTCGTTCCCCAGTGTAATTTTTGTACTGCAGTATTTCTTGTCTCATTGCTACTGTTATTAAAAGGAAAATCTCAGGTAATAATATGTTGATTTCCTCTTTTTTCCTTCTGTTTATCCTTACAGCATTCTGCCATTCCTTTTATTACAGGTTGGACCAGTGGCAGTAATATTTTTGCCTTTTTTTTTTTTTTTGAGTTGCAGTGTTCACTTGCTGTAGATTTGCCAAACTTTAGCTATTTGTGCTGAAATGCTTTGCTTTGTTTGTTACGTGGCTGGGCAAAGCACCCAAACCTAGGATTTAAAGGGTGAGACTGGGACTGTTTGGACTTTTCAGGCTGGGTAAAGACTAGGTCTGGGGAAACGAATTTAAGAAGAGAAAAGAGAATAGACTCAGCAAATGAGTAAATTATAAAAATTGATTGCATTTACTTCCATGGCATCATTGTGAGGAGAGAGAAGTACAATATTCCTGTTTTGTAAAGTTATAACTCTCAGTTTTCTGGAAAACCAGAAGGCAGTCATCTCAATAAGAATAATATTTATGTCACAATGTGTATATAGAAAGGAACAATTGTTGTCAAAGATACACTTAGTTTTGGTAATTTTATGAATTTTTAATGTTTGCTGTTGCAAATTTCTCTTCCTTGTGAAGCAGAGATGATATATGTAGAGTGGGCTGTGCAATGAAGACTTGAGCGTACTGAAATTTTTGCCTAAGTTTGTGTTAAAGCAGATGGTTGATGCCTCCTTCTAAAACCAACACTGAGTTGCACCATCTATGAGTTGTAATAGATTTTAAATTATGTCTTTGATTGATTGAAAGAACAATTTCCTGCTTCCTACTCAGTCTAAACTCATCCTCCACTAATAGGTGAAAGAGGTTCTGGTCCCAGAAAAAACATTGCTGCAGGCAACAGAAGAATGTTGAGCTTTGTTAACCTTGTTAACACCCAAGCTGTGTTCCTGGCTATGGCAAAGAAACATGGCATTGCTTCACTGCAGCTGGATCTCATGCCTCTCCTTGCAGGTATTCTGTAAGAAAGGGGCTGGGAGGGAGAGATATGCTAGGGTATTGCATGTCTCTGAAGCTCCCACACTTAGGAGGCTGGTGGAATCTGTATTTAAAGATCTCTAGGGAACTTCATGTTCTGGTTAAAAACTGGCTGGTTAAAACAGAAAATAGTTAGAGTTATCAGTGGGGTTTGGTTTTCATCTGGAGGAGGCTGACTTCTGGGTTCTGGATGTTCTTGTATCCTGTTTCACTCAGAATGTGTTAGACTTCTCTGTGACTAGATTATCATTCATTATTAATATATGTTGTTCCATTTCAGTGTGCAGTGAGTTAAATATGCCGTTTTTTATTCTGTTGATGTTTTATTCTGCTGCTTTTTTTTCCCTATGTACAGCATCCACTGGGTTAATTCCTATCAGTTTCTTTTTATTTTAAGCCATCCACATCACTAAGAAATATGTTCTGACAGGAAAAAGCATTTTTGCATTAATTTCTGACAGCAGTTGTTACTCTGCTGACTTTGCCAGTAATTCATTGTTAAGCTTGGAAGTTGGCTTGTGAGCCTCAAAAGTTCATCCCTTTATGCTTGATTGTTTATCTCCTGTCTCCACCCACTAACGTTACAGTGTAGTTGTCCATGCCCCTTGCAACATGAGAGTGGCAAATCCTGAAATAGAGTTTGGGAGAAAATTGCAATGGTAGTTTAAGTTCCATTAGAAATTCAGATTGTCACCATCTCTGGGGTTATGCTTGTTCCCTGCATGCAAATTAGCTGTTGGCTTCATCTTTTCCCATTTAAAAAGAATCTGGTTTAGGGCTGAAACTTCAAACTAAAAATAGATTGAATCTCTGTTTAACTTCCATAGTGTCATCTGGAAGCACCTTTGGTAGCTAATAACTACTATGCCTGTAGTAGAGGACACCCGATACAGCAGTAGATTTATTTAAGTTGTAGGCTCACTTCTTTTTGTTATCACCTGTTTACAGAAGGAATGTATGAATATACTATGATATTCTCAGCCTTTTTGTAATATGTGTGCAATAGCATAGTGTGCAGGTGTTTTTAGTTGGAGCATTCTGCAGAATATACATTCTGTATATATACATGAGCCAAACTTTGTCATAGTTCCTGTCCCACCTTTCAACTCAGCAGCCAAGATTATCTTGCAATAGATTGCTTGCAATAGATTATCTTGCAATAGATTGATTGCTGCTCTATTACATGTCCTTGGTTCCTCAGAGTCAAAATAAAAGGTACAACATCTGAAATAAACAGAAATGGATATAGATGCAGTCATTCTTCTTAATATTTGTCAGCACACTATTTACTTTGCAACAGTCAGATATTTCAGCACTTGGAGAGGCTGGCAAATTATTATTTTTCCCTCATGTTAGCATTGTTAGGAATGTGCTTTTGCAGGTGTTTAACTTAAAAACAGTAAAAAATAGTCTTTTTTTTGTATTTCACTTGCATAATATATTAAATTAATACAGCTCTGAACAGAGTTTGGAGAAGATGCTAGTTGAGCAATGGAGAAGATGCTAGTTGAGCAATGTGCAGTAAATGAGATTGCACTATTTAGCTAGAGCTGTCACATGTAAGTTCGTGTTTTGGCAATTCTCAGAAAGTATTCCCCACTAAAACTCTTAGCAATTCCATAGTATTTGCAGGCTGTGTTATATCTGACATCAAACAAATGATGGCCTGAGAATTGCACCTTTAAAAGATGTTTGGCATTGCAATGCTATTTAGAGTTTGACCTTGACTTCAGATAGCAGAGGCTTTACAGTTAAGATACTTCTGGATACTTCTGGCACAAGGAAAACGAAAGAAGAGGATGTAAATCTGACATGTTAAAATGGAAAATGATAAAGCCCACTGAACAACCTTTTTTTGTTTGTTTGTTTCTTTTTTAAAAAAGGTTTGATTTTGATGACAAATTTCTGAACTGCTTTGGTTTGTGTGGCATGTATGTTTGCATCTTTAGAAAGAAATAAGTTTGTGTGCTTTCAGCAGTTGTCGTAACACCATTTGGGAGTTATTTTTTCTTTTCCATAGAAGATGATGTTTCCAGCAGCTAAAAATATGCTTTTGATTCATTTAATACAGTCCAAACGAGATTTTTAATTGATTGAATTGAATGCTTTTGTGGAACTGCTTCTATAACAGTATTTAAACTTGTATGTTTCAAAGGGGAAAAGTCTGTGATTAGTCGCCTGGAAGAAAATAATCCGAAAGTTTTAGATGCCTATATGAGTTTCACTGTAGCAACACCTCTTCTGTCTGAAAGACAAAGACATGAATTGAATCCACTTGTTATAAAGATTCGTTCAGCTACCTGCCTCCCAAATACACCTGTACCAATAGAAGTTCTGCAGGTAACTCATACCACTGTTCTCTTTCTGACAAATTACCTTGAAATAACTTTGATTCCAACATGGACACCGTTTAAAGGGAACTTTGCTTATTATGTGTCAAGTCTAACATATTTATTGCAAAAGAGATGTAGACAGATTAGTACCTTGGAATCATAAGTGCTGGCACCAAAACAACAATTTTGTGTTTTCCAGGGGTTGTAGTTTGTATTTAGTAATCATAATTTTGATTTCAGAGCAGTAGATCAGACAGGGAAGCCAAATCATCTCTAATGCTATCCTATTTGAAACAATTTGTTGATATATCAGTATCTGTTGATTTTCTCACTAGAGCAACTTCTTTTTCCTGTTTAAAAAATATTATCTATCTTGAGAATGGCAAATATACAGCATTTATAATGATGTGAAATGTAAAAGAATAATTTTTATTGGTGAAGATAGCCCAAGGCTTTTGGTCTTGCATAAGGCTGTCATGGCCTTTGTAAATTTGGAGAGATGAGTTACAGAGGAAATATGTCATCTTGTCAAAATCTTAATTTTGGGAGCTATTTTGTTGTTTCCCACTTGAGGTGGAATTATAGGGGAATTACATTGTATATCAGCTTGGTCCTTGATGTTAGGGATGTGGATGGAGTTAGTTTGTTTTCATAGTGAAAAGAATATAATAGTCTTATGTGAAAAACTTTTAAAAACACAAATGTGTGGTCAAATTATCTCAGCTGGAAAATATGATCAGTACTTGTGCAACATAATAAATCATGGAAACCAAATATGCCAAATGTAATCTAGAGAGTGATCACGGAAGTTTTGACTAAATTTCCCTTGCCAAATGTAATACTGTATGAAATAACTGTTGTAAATTGGAAAGTTTTAAGATGGTCCAGAAAGTTTTAAGTTAGTTTCCATTCCTGCAGGCTGGCATAATGCTGATGGATAGCTGTGGAACCACAACAGAAATATTGTGGAATAAACCTCCCTGTTTCCTTCCTAAATTCATAAACAAATGGCTAAGTGGAGATAATTTACAAACTTCTAGCTATACGTATTTATTCTAGGCCCTGAGTCTTGTACAGATGAATATATAGAGAGCAACAAAAGAGATCTAGCCCCATTGCAGTACTTCTGCCTACTTCTTTCTGACAGGAGAGATTTTGCAGAGTGTGGGGATATATCTAGAAAGTCAGCAAAACTGATGTTTGGCAAATGAAGGGGACCATAAATTCCTGAAACTAGGATCCAGGCACATAAAATGGTGTCTTTGGTGCCTTGAAAGGCATAGACTGTGCCTTGAAGAACACCCTCCCATATCTTCTGTGCTAGAAAAGGCTGTTGGTGTGCGAGGTGATACTACATATAAATGTTTCCTCTCATTTTTTGTTCTTTAGAAAATGTGTGTTCCTACTTACTGCAAGTACAAATTTCACAACTTTCCAGTTCATCAAACTCATGGACAAATCCATGGAACTCATGTCTACTTTAAGGATGCTAATGTGCTTCTAACAGGGACAATGAAACCTGAAGAATTACAAGCCTGTCTTAGGGGTCCACCTATAGAGGTTGAAGTTCACGACCGTGATAGAAACATGGCAAATGATACAAATAAGCCATGTTTGTTTGGGGAGGATCTAGCTGATGAAAAGGTGGGTGAAGTAAGCCTTCTTGCTTGCAAATCCACAATCTGTAACTCATCTACAGAGAAGAAACAGTGGCATCCACATGGGATAGCTAAAGTCAGTCTTGCTGATCTACTGTTGGGCAAAAAGTGCCTGAATATCAGTGTGCCAATTCATAGCTGCTCAGTTCCAAATGCAGCTGCCTGCAAGGAGGAGGATAAAAATGAGAGAATAGTAGGATCTGTTGATAGTTTTTCTCTAATGCCTATGGGGCATTATCTAGAGTCAGATTCACTTTTGAAAGTCAGAGTGGAAATAGCTGTACCGTTAGGAGTGCAAGCAGAAACTGCTCATGCTGAAGTCACAAATTACCCATATGGCTGCATAATCTATGTTTTTGACTATAATAATGTATCACTATTACATGATTTGGTGGAAGAGATTACAGCAATCAATGCAGAAGCCCTCCAGCTGGACTGTTATCCTATGCCGTTAATCCAGATGGCTCTGGCTACCTTAAAAGTGAAAAACACACCTAAGGAAGTTTCTGAGCTGGATATTGTTACTGGTTTTCATGTACTGGATGGGGCGGGTCATCTCTGGAGGGATTCAAAGACAAAGCAATCAAGAGACTCTGGGATAGACACTTTGAAAGGTAAGAGAGTTTGATCATTTTTATTAGTTATTTCCTAGACTGAGATATTTTGACCTGACTTGTACTTCCCCCATTCTTTCTATACAAAGCTATATGGTCGCATACACAGTTGAAGCTTTTTATGCAGTTTTAGAGACTGACTCCCAGTGTCTGGGTCAAAGCTTGATGAATAGTCATCCTGTCATTTTCACATAACACCTTGTATCACCCGTGTAAATTTAAAATGAGGGAAATGCCAGTGTGTACTTCCTTGCTAAGACAGCTTGTGGAAAAGTCTATAATCTGGTAATTCAAGTAAAAAACATTATAAACTCTCTTTTTTTTTTCCGTGTTTTCTGTATGCTGACTCTGCAGAGGAATGGTGCAAACCTCAATTTAATTTGAATGATCTAAGATAGGAGTCTTTTGTGTTTGTGGGTTATTTTGGTTGCCATTTTCATGAAAATTAAAGCTATTTTCAGCATTCAAAAATTGCTGTAGTCATTGGTCCACTGACCAAAGTCCATTAGATGGGAAACTTTGACGAGAGTTCTAGAAAATTCATAAAAGCAGATTGTTTGGGAGAGGCTGCAGAAAAACTTAACAATAATTATCATTCAGAACAGTAAGATACACACAGGTACATGCAAGTACACACATATACACCCTTCTTAACATTTGGAAGCAACATGTGCCCACACTCACTGAGAGAAGAAAGGTTATTTAGTTAAGGGAACATGATGTAGTCTGAGAAGTGCACTTTTGTGTACATGAGCTCATAAACATGTGCAACGGGAGTGTCAGAGTAAAAAAAAATCGAGATAAGTTTTGTTTTTGTATGCATTATTTGCACAAGTAAATGATGGTTATTAAGATTTCAAAAGTCAACTTAGTGGTAAACTAATCTTGAGTTTCAAAGGAGCTTTTGACAAACTTGAATCTGTGGGCAGTATTCACAATACAGGCATGTTGATAAAAGTGAAGTAGCACAGTGTCTAATGCTCTACCACTTGTGTGTATCAGAATTTTGCAGCTTAGTTTTGGGTAACTTGTTAGGAAATGCAAGCATATAGGAAGTTTGTATTATTTTCTAAGCTGAAAGCTATGCACGTGTCACCGAAGTGAGTAGAGCATTTACTTCAGAGGGAAATAACACATCATTTCTTATTTTTCTTTTTTTCATTTACGTAACTCTTAGGATTTGCAGTGGATGTGTCCCTCAAATTTCATTTAATGTGTCCCTCAAATTTCATTTATATTTAATTTTCCCAACATTGTACCACATTGTTATAGCTTTCCTGTTTTCCATTTTTTGTTGTTTTTTTTTTATGTGCATCCCTTCACTGAAATTCCGAAATTATTTATTTTGTGAAAAGTTCTCTCTTGCCAATGTGAACATGTTGCCTAAATTGGACCTATGCTTAACTGCTGCAATATGAATTTTGGTATTTGTAGTGGAAATATTTCTAAAACGGTTTTACAGTTAGTAAGGTTGTTATAGAACACATGCTCATTGATGAAATGGTGGTAAGATTACCATGTGGTTTAAAATAAAGATGCATTCATATTAATCATGGTGAGAGGGTTTGGATAATGTCTTTTTAATTTGTCCATAATCATAATTTTTTGAAAGGTTCATGTTGGATGGAAGCCATTAAGCGGTTCCATCTAAATGACAAAAGCAAGGCGCTTTGGTAAGAGATTATGATTGTTTTATAGCATTGAGGAAACCTGAGATATGGGCTGATTGCTGTTACCTTGCTGTTATGGTGCTGCGTTACAGGACCTACAGACCTGAAGATGGACAGTTGGAAATACTGTATAATTCGCAGCTGTCTTTCCGTCAGCGCCTGTACATAGACCTGGAAGCTGTGCTGTATCACTTCCGCCTCTGCAAGCCCCTCTTCACTATAGCAAAACAGCCACTGCTTTATGTCAGAGGAATGGTTCCTGGGGCGTGTTTCCAAGCCTTGTCCAGGTAGGACATTTTCTGGATTAATACTCAAGAAATTAAAAAGTGAAATATCGTCAAAGTTGAGTGAATATTTGATACAAAAATGAATAATCTTGCCTGTATTTTTCCTGACAAAAGCAATCTGTTGGCCTAATGGATAGTTCAGATTTCAGATGAGGCACACTAAGAGAGAAAACTGTGCTTTAGGGATGTAGCAGTAACAGTATTAGTGAGCTCAGTTTTTATAAGAAGAGGTCATACTTCGTTAAAGAGAAGAGAGGTGTTATCAGCAAGATAGTACAATATCTGAAAATATCTGAAAAGAATGCAAATTCTCACGTCAGAAGCATCATCTGTGAAGGATTTAATTCCATGCTCTGTTCTTAGAGGTGGTGTAGAATGAGATAGAAAAGAAAGCTTGATAGAACTTGGTAGATCCAAAAGGACATGTGAACTAAGCAGTGAAATAAAGAAAGCAGTTTTCCTGATGTAACTAGGCCAAGGAAGAGGGTCAGGGAGAATCTACTTCCTGCTCCCAGCTTTCTGTTTTGGGGTTTTGTTCAGCTTCTTTGTCCCTGATAAATATCAGTGTTCATGAACTGACCCGAACCTCTTAGTAGACAAATGTTTAAGGAAAATCATACAGGTTTTTCTACAATAATACCTTTAAAGTAGTAGCTTTAAGGATTGGATTGCAGTTTAGTCTTTGTACACTAATAAAATGTTGATGTCTATTTTTAGGCTCAGTTACCTCTGTCGCAGTAAAAGGTTGAGGGATGTTATTCATGGGGATTTGTTGCCCACAGCAGAAATGATCACAATCTTGAGTCAAGAATTTGGAATTCCATTAACTAAAAAGGATCTGTTCACTCAGAAACCTTCGTTAGTCCCATTTTCCTCTGATTCTTTTACAATACCAGGAAAAGTAAACCGAGTGAAACGGGCAGTATATTCTACATTAGATAACCACAATGAAAAGTATGTGCAGTGGAAGAAAGAAAAAGAAGACAAAATATCTTCTGAGAGAAACCATATTGCGGTGAGTAGTTTGTGCTGTATGTGAGGCAAGCGACTAGCTGCAAAACTTCATATTCTTAATCAGCACCTCCTACTCCTGAAATAATAACTTGCTGGACTTCAGTGAGGCATTTGTAGGTATCATTTGAATGCACATGGAAACTTTATTTTGCAATAACAGTAATAAAAGTAACTGATTCTTGCAGGGGAAAATCATAGTGCTTACAGATAGAGAGAGGAGACACTGTGTGAATTAGATTATTTAAAATAATTTATTCTTATCATTCACTTTTTTTTTCTATAACTTCCCTGCCGTTCTGCTTTAACATGTCATTCAGGCTTCAGATGCTTGAGGGGAGGCAAAACATCTACAGCCATGTGAAAACAGAGGGAGCTCTCAGAGTTACTACAGTTACTACAGGGAAGTGACTTCCTTGTGTCACTCTCTTGCAGTAATTATCTGTTGTGCCAAGGTCTGCGTTCAAAGTCAGATTACTGTAAACACTGTAGAGTGATGATCTTACATCAATGAAAAGAGTATGAGTGTTTAATTGCACTGTGCCAACAGAGAAATTTAAAGAGTTAAATGATGAATATTATTTCCCATGCCGTTGTATTTGCTGGAATGTTAACAGAGTCTTAGAAATGAAAGGACCAATCTTACTTCCTTGAAGAAGACCAGTTCAGCAGCATCCCTGCAGAAAAGCTATTTAGATCTGGAAGTAGAACTTGCATCTGATTGAGTGTTACACTCAACTGCTGTTAATCTTGAAGATTGACTGCTGTTAATCTTGAAGAAGGTCAAATGCAGGGATGAAATGAATCACTGTGAAACAGAAACAGCACTGTTTGTTGCTGCAGAATAAACTATTTTTGTGAAGCATTTTATTCTTATGCTATTACATAACAAGAACACACTAATATGGAAAAAGTATAGCCTGTGCTTTTAGAGGTTTTTTTTTTTTTTTTTTAATGGAAGGGTAATGGCGCTTTAGGAACAGTTCTTTTTTTCAGTGTATACAGAATCAATTGCTTGATCACAATTTAATCATAAAATTTTGAATTCAAAGTCAACGAAACTGATATGTAATCCTTCTTTTCAGGCTAATATTGGTGCTGTAAGACAACACAAAGGAAAGATGAAACACCCCAAGTTTGAAACCTTCAGGATTTTTCCTGTTGATGGCAAATCTGTCTATAACTACAGTTCACAGGGCCTGAATTCTGTAGAACTTGCGAAGAAGCGTCTTCGCCAGGAAATGGCAAAGGTGAATTGAGACAGATGACTGGAAGATAGTGGCTTGCCATACATAATGCTAAAAGAGAGAGTTGAATTTAATTTGCTTCACATTAGTCCTTTCTTGTTAATATGTAGGACTGAAGTATCCAAAAAGATCTCCGAGTGAGAGATGCTGTTTAGTTGCTGTGTTAAATTCTGCCCCAACACCGTTCATTATAGCCAAATTGTTTTGTCTCAGTGACTTGGATTCCCATTTGAGTGTGGAGTTGGTAACCTAGTAGGTCACTTCCAGTTCTGAGTCCCACTCATTTTATAAATGGGAGAATAGAAATAATAGCAATGTCCATGTATGCAGTAAGTTGATTTAGAAAGATATTTAATGAAACTCTGCTTTTTTCGTCAAGGTTTGTGTTATAAATTAGGTTTTACGGTGATAATATATCAATATACATATAGGCCTAATACCTACTTTTTGTGTATTACTGAACATCATGTAAGTTGTTGTCAACGGCTGAATAAAGCCAAGTTTATGGGAGAGTTGTCCTGGTTGAAAATTTGACTTTCGGAGTTTAGGGGTCTGCAGTATAGACAGTAAATGGAACCTCAAGAGCATTGATCTGATCAAATGTAGCACTCAACTTCGCAATGAGGTGAACCATCTGCATTGACAAGATCCACATAGAATGTATTAAGAATATCCAGCTAGATTTGACAGAACCATACCAAAAGTTAGGGAGATTTATTCCACCCTTTGGAAACTCTTAACTTCTGTAAGAATAAGAGATCACATCTTGAGAGATTTCTATATATATTATGGGATTTTCAAGTTCAGTTTACCCAGCGTTTTGTTAAATTCTGGAATGAAATGGTATAAGTTTTGATTATGTGTGTATATATATATAGATGTATATTACGTAATATATATATATATTTTATATATATATAAAATTTTATAAATATTTTTGAGAACCATCTGGGATGGTTCAAAAGTAGTTTTACCTAAAAGACTGGCTATCAGCTAGTGGAAATTGTTGTAGCTTTGTCATAGCTGTACATGGTATACTGTGAGCATGGTATGATCTGTAGTTCTATGAGTAAACAGATATAGTATTAAAAGTATTTCTCTCCCGTGATTATTTTACAGAGATTGCATTCTAGCACTTGTCATTAAATCCATAGTTAGATCCTAATAGAAATTTTAAAATATTTTTTATGTATCTGTTGGTGACTTTTCTTTCCTGTCTAATTTTGATCTGAATTATGATTACTTGTGGCCATAATTAGAGAACTGGTAGTGAATCTCTAACTTAGGTTATTATTGAAGGTTCTATGCTTCTCTTCCAGGAAAAGGAGAGTTCATATATTAAAAAAAAAAACTTCTGTTTTTTTTGTAGAAACCAAAGAAGAGGTTCACTTATTGCCACGAATATCTGTCAGCTATGTTTGATCCAGTAGATTTGGTTGCTGCTTATAAAGAATTCTTAGCAAAATACAAGAGTATGTGGCTGTCAGGAGATGGATTTGTTTTTCCTGGTTATAAGAGCAGCATTGAAAGCAACCTGCACCCTCAAATGCCTGACGAGGCACGGCTGAAGGAGTTACGTGAGGTAACATAAAGCTTAACTGAGTGAATCATAGAATCACAGAATGCTTAAGGTTGGAAGGGACCTCTGGATGTCATTTAGTCCAATCCCCCTGCACACTCAGGGTTATCTACTATCCAAAGTGAATTTTAGGAGACCTTGAAAGAGGCAAATTGCTTTTGCATGTGGAGGTCTGTTTTGGAGAGTGCAACATAGGTAGCTCTTCTGTGGGTGACATCTGTACCCTTCATTTTAGATATATTAGCCTCTAGCTCAGCGAGGCAATGCACTTTTGTTTGGATGCACAAATTCTAGCACAATCACATGTACAGAAAATGTATTTGCCATATAGCGTATTGACAGATATTAATGCAGTATACTGTGTTTTACATGTAAAAGTGGAGGCTAATAGCAGAAAAAATCATAATATCATGTTCTGTGATGGTGAATATTCCTGCCATGTTTCAAATGCACATCTTTTTTTTTCCTCATACATACTTCTTCAGCATACCTGGGCTTTTGGCCCTAGTAATTTAATACAACCATTGTATTTTAGAAGTACCAGGGAAGCTTTTGCTTCTTAAAAGTGTTGTGCTTTAATCTTATCCTTGGCATCATATTTAGCTCTCACTGGTTTAAAAATTCTGCATAGCCAGAACATTTTTATAGTGTGACTTCCTTCAGGAGGAAGAGATAAGAAATAGCTAGCTAGTTTTTGGACACCTCTCAGAGTCTAGTTCTGCAGAGGAGGATGGGGACACAGGTTCATATGAAAAATGATGGTCCCTGCGTACCTGCAAGCTTAGCAGCTGTGTATGAAACATCAGAAGATGTATCAAACTGCTTGTATCGCTGCAGAGAGTGTGACAGAAATATGAAACTGGACAATTCTCTGCTAGGTATTTCTGACATAACTGTAAGTGTCTATATATTAGATAAGAGCTATTGTCCAAGTATCAGGTGCTTTTGCCTGTAGTGGATTTTTGTTCATACTCGCATGACTCAGATGTAACAAGGTGAAAGGCAATTTACAGTGATACAGTCTTGTGTAATGAAGTAACAACTACTGTAATAGTAGGATCTAATCCCTCTCCTGAAATCTAATCCCTTTCCACCTCAAAGTCTAGCTATTGTATTTTTTCTGACTCTTCCCTGGTGATGTTAACTTCATTTCTTAAAAGGGATTTAATTGACTTACTTACAGAAATGGCAGGAGAATGTTCTGTTTGGTAACATGGACCCAGTTCTGTCACGAGACAGATGGAGTTGGGACGAGCGACACATTGATTTTGATCTTTACAAGAAACCGCCTGAGCTGCCCATGACCACAGTCCTTCAGAGAAGTAATGGGGCTCTCTCAATTTGCTAATGACACTGTTTTATATTGAATCTCTGACATACAGTCCTGAAGCTTGTTCAGTTCTGCAGCAAGGGGAGGGATATGAGTGCAAAGCGCTTTAGCAAGGGGCTCCATGTACATCAAAACTGTTGGCACTCTAACAGCTAATACGTCTTTGGGTGTAAGATCTTGGCCATATTGTGCTCTTCCATTATGCAAATTCCTAGCCTTAGAGCCTTTGTTTATATTTAAATGAGGAGAGGGTATATATCTTTCTTGGTTTATTCTTCTGCATTTTTTTTGGTATGGATTGGTGAAAATCAGCTTTTGTTTTTAATCAGGATCAGAAAAAAATTGACCTCGCAAACTGTAAGCAATTCCAGAAAATTAGTCCAGAGGAGAGCTAAGAAGAGCTTGAATCTGCAGGCTCTGTCACATCAGCCTGTGGTGCCTCCTCCTCAGCTAATCCTAGCTGGTGAGGCGGTCAGTGTGCCTCATGTTCCCGCCTAAACAGCAAGATACAAGACAGTTATGTTGAAGTTTAATTATAATAAGCTTTTTTTTGAAAGCTTTGCTATGTATTACCCCCTCCAGCACTCTCTAACTAGCTGAAATTCACTGGAATGCTTATGAGCCAAGAGTGATGATAGCTTTATTGTGCTTGCTAGAGTCTTTTAGCTTTTAGGCTGGCATTTTCCCCATGACCTGCAACACACGTTTAGTGCCGTTCTCCTCTAGTGCTTCTCATGGAGGAATGCTTTTGAAAGTAGACAGAATTAATTTCCCTTTTTATGGTGCCTACAGTATAGTGAATGTCTGCTCTGAAGCACCAGGCTTTAGTCTAAAACCTGTAGCATTTGTTCTAGCTACTCCTTGTGAGAAAAGTTGTTCATCCTAATCACAGGCTTTTAGCATCCTTGTTGAAACAGCCAACACTTCCCATCTTTTCCATGCAACTGTGGCCTCGTGAAGATGATATGTCGGTTCTACAGCCCGTGTTTGATAACACCAAGCTGAAAGTTCACCGGTGCTCCCCAGCAGCTGAGCTACGCGCACGTGGGCCAGGAGCCAGTTCTCAGCTGCAGAAACTCCAAGGACTTCTGAAAGACAAACCTCTGAAATTCTCACTCAGGAAGCCAGGCCTCATTTTGAAGGTAAAAGGTAACTTGCCTGGGACCTGCCTGTAATCAGCAACTGCTGTCCTGCTTCTTGTGGTATGCAGAAAATACATTAGTCATTAATTTGTTGAACACCATAGTTTTTGAAGTAAAAATATTTGCTAAACGTGATACTAATAACAATGGTCAGCTCCACCTTACGAAATTTTAAAAATGTCTCATCACACAAATTATTATTTTTTTGGGGGTTACTCTTTGCTTTAATAGAGCTAATGGAGGAAGGGGGAGAAGTTTTGCTCAGTTACCTTGCCTGTCACTGTGCAGTGGTTGAGAAAAGGGGAATGATTTTTGGCCAGCTGGCTTAGCAACTCTAAATGAAATTCGAATGTCCTCTAATGAAATTCAGGGACCAAGGCACTTGTATTAAGTAGATGCCAAGGGTCTCACCATGTGTGCTCTTGATTACCATAGTACTGTATAGAGTTTCTGAGCATTGCACTTCAGCTTGTCAGTGCAAAATCCCACACAGACACCCCACGTTTGCAAGACTAAAGGAATTGTGCTCATTAATATGAAAAGCTGTATGGGTGGCCTGCACCTAACTGGTCTTTTGTCTGCAGAGCCAGAGACAGTGCTTGCATGTAAATGAATGACCCAAACATTGGGCATGCTTTTAAAGCTGATTTTGATCAAAGGGAATGAGCTCTCTGTTGCTACAAATGCTCCAGAAAAACAAACACAGGACCAAGGAGAATGTTAATACAACAGCAGAGTTAGGCTAACTACCTCCCTCCTCCTGTTTTTAATATTCTGAGCATCCGTATCGGCATTAGGTAGGCATGCAGCAGCAGCCTGCCTAGGTTTGTCCATGCACTAAGGCCAAGTGCTCTGCTTTGCCTTCTTTCTGAATTGGCTGGTGAAACTGTGAAAGCTCCCCATCTTGGACTGTGCCTTGCCTGTTTGCTGTAATTTCACTGAAGAGCCTCTTCTTTTGCTAGGCTAAATATAATCATTCATTAGTTAACACACAGCTTGAACTGCATGCCAGTGGGCTTAGGGCAATTGGATTTGAGCTCTGACTTAAGTTTTTTGATGACATTTTTTTTCAGGGCTTGCCTTGCAGAGTTATCTACTGTTTTGTAAAGCCATCCCATTTTACAAGGGAGGGTTTACGTGTCATAACTTTTTGGTGGGGTGGGGGGAGGGTCTACATTGGAAGCTATGTGTCTTCGTTTGTCTTTTGTGGGGAATGGAATGATGCTGTATTTTGCCATTTATCCTTTTCCAGTGCTCCTGTTTGTTTATGTTTAGTTACAGTGTTTTTCCTCTGACAGCAAAAGAAAAGTTGCCTTGCTGGGTAATATGGGTAGTTGAAGGAACACAGAATTTACACAATCTGGATATATTAAAGCTAAACAAGCAGCTCACATTACAGTAGCAGCACTATTTTCTGCCCTTCTTTTTTTTTTTTTTTTTTAATTTAAGGTCATTGTCAGATGAAGGATGAACATAGCACCTCAGCTCCATTAACTAACTAGCTCA